CGGGCATAGCACCAGCTATCACATGCTGACCTCCGTATCAGATTTGCATTCCCTAAAGGATCCCAGTCCCACCATTTACTCACTCACGCACCAGCAACAGCAGCAACAGTTGCAGCAGCAATTGTACCACCACCAACAGCAGCAGCAACAACAACAGCAGCAGCAACACCTCCAGCAGCAGCAGCAGCAACACCAACAACAGCATCACCATCACAACAACTCCGCCAGTTCGGTCGGCGGGGATTCCCCATCGTCCTCCTCGCATGCACTGTCCACGCTCCAGAGCTTCACGCAGCTGACGAGCGCCGGCCACAGGGACAGCCTTTCGCCGGAACAGCATGGGGGCTACTTCAGTCCCAGCCTGCAGACAACCAGGTGAGTGTGGAGTGTGGAGAGTGGAGTGTGTTTGTGTGTGGCACCGACCGACAGACCGTCCCGCGTGCTACTCGAACGAGAGTATGAGCTCATTATCACGATCCATATCGCACGTGCCTTAACCGAGCTTCGAGCACCGCGCAACACCGCCAAATGTCATGATCAGAGAAGCGCATTCGTTGATTCATATTTCCCCCAACCCCCCAAGCCCCCCACCCGACAGTCGCGACTGTGACTATGATTTTTCCTCAGTTCTCTGTGTTGTTAGGGTTCTCCAGTTCTCCAATGGGTTATAGGTGTATTACTTTAAGTCATAATTGTTGCTCATTGTTCCAGGTTTTAGACTTTGCTCTCAAAAAGTATGGGATCGATCCCTCCTCACACACACGCACACACATTTCCGTGTTCTGTGGCATTCTCAGGTGGTTTATTCGCCCAGTGGAATGCCTATAAAAACCTGGTTGCACGGTTGCATCTATTTTGTGTGTTTCATGTCCAGAGGAATGTGTGTTTTTCTTCATTCAAATGAAAAAACATCCATAAAAAACAGTTGTGATTTTGTCGCCATCACAGATGTCATATGAACAATGTGCTAGCCTCTAGAGTTTGTGTGGGTTTTAGTGGGTGTGGCAGTGGCAGTGCCAGTGCCAGGGAGTGGGTGTTAAAGGTTGCAGAACTGATGGATGGAAGAAAGGGAAGGTAATCGAGTGGGAATAAACTTTTTAGATCATGTTTTTGGAATCTACAAGGAGAGTTTTCTTAAAGAAGATATGCGGGATCTATAAAGGACGCTCGACATTTTCGATGGATGCATTTTCCAATCATCTAGCAAATGAGAATTCCTCCCTCGACTTACGGACTGTTATGTTATGCTATGCCTGTATTTTCCTATATGCAAAACACGTTTTCAATTATAAAAAATAACAACCACAAACAAAACGATCCTAAATGAAGTGCAAAATGTGGAAAAAATAGAGAAGAGAAAAACGAGTCAAAAAAACAGAGGAGAAAAACAAGAGCCAAAGGCAAAAGCTGAAACGAGATCAATGGAAAGACGACGAACGGGCGGGCACTCATTGTGCGGGTTGTACGGGTCTGGGATCCCACCCTTTGGATCGTTAGAGCACCCCCAGTGCTCCTCCTTTATGGAGACGTAAGGGGTATGGGGTCTTTTGAGGCTGACTCAGCAGCGGCTTTGAAGCTGCTTTCAGAGTTTGGGTTTGGGTTTGGGTTTCGTGTGGCGGTTTCTGTGTCACGGGATGGCTTTGGATTACCCCCCGAGAAATACACAACCACCTTCAGGTATCCCACTCCTCGAATAGAGAGCTTTGCAATTGGAATACGCCCCGATCCGACCCGATCCGATCCGATCCGATCCGAGCCAGCAAACAAGCTAGAAAAATGCGCTACAATTGCATTTTGGAACTGCCGATCAAATGCGGGTCACGCCCCCCTTTTTTTAATGGTTTTTCAGTGCGGCACGTGCCTAACTTTTTTTTGGACACGTGTGTCGCCACAACTCTTGGCCACAAATGCTGCTGGTAACACCACACCCCCTCTTTAGGCCAAAAGTTAGTCAAGCATTTCTTTGGGCCACTCCATGAGTCAGAATGTCCGAGTCCAAGTCCGAGTCAGAGTCAGTGCGTCTCCCTTACGTCAATAATTGGAGACATAGCATATTTTCTTGTTTACGAAATTTGAGCGGCAGTACTTTTTTTTATTTTTTTGCTTTTCGCTGAGCCTCAGAACTCAGCGACAGCCACAGCCACAGCCACAGCGACAGCGACAGGAGGAGCAAAGCGGAAGAGAGCCTGAAGCAAGTGCGAAACTGTATTTATTGTATGTTCAATGTTTATTTTGATCTTCCGAAAGGTTGAGACTTGAATACTTATAATCGAGATTTTGCAACAAGATATCCAGGGCCCCAAAACAGCGCTAAAGATCACAGAATGAGAATCGGAAACATTTTGAAAGATTGAAAGACGGCCTACTGTTTGAGAGGTATCGAATTGGAGATCGCACAGATCGGCAAAAGATCATAGATGATATATCGAATTATGTTTAAAGAATCTCTTGAGAGATCTTCGGAGAAAAACAAAACTATTTTTTGGCTCAGCGATGACGATGACGAGATGCTCGGAACATTTTGTATGTGACTTTTTATTCATTTTGTGGCGGCAGTGCGAAAAAACCAGAAAACCAGAAGAAGATATCACAACGCCCGACATTCGTCGAGAGCTCACATACGAGTACGAATACTCGTAGTTTGTGTGGAAAAACAAGAAGTCGAATCGAATGCAGAAAATACTCACCTGCAGAGAACAGCCACACAGAGCCGACAGAACCGACAGAAAACTGAAGCGATGATAAATTATATCGTTGTCGTGCATTTTTTGTTGTCATTCAGTCTACTTCCTATATATATTGTATGCTATTCTCTATATGGTAGAGCGTAGGTACGAGTACCTATGGCCAGAGATAAAGATATATTGTAGCATCTCTGAAAGTTGAAAATTGAATTTGTTGTTGGGCGCTGACTGTGTTATCAGAGAGCGTGCCTCAAGACTTTGGAAAGACTTTGTTTTATGTTCAAGAATAGCTATGGTTCTACCGTTTTTGGTAGATAATAAAATGCTACAGTGGTTGCTCGGAATGTTAGCTTTTCGATGGTTTTAGAGCCCTGAATCCATTCCCAATCTATCCTTAAATCAATAGCCTTTTTATTTCATAACTGAAACACTTTTAATTTGTTTAAAATTACATAGAAATATGCAGTTTTCAATCTTCGAGCGATCACTGCACCTCGATTTTCGTGTGGCTTATATCCAATTTGTATTTCTTACAAGTTTTTCACACAATTTTATCACTTATTTTATGGCTTAAACTCCCCGCCTGCGTCTCAGCCAAAAGCAAAAGCAGCAGCAGAGGCACAGCAACAGCAACAGCAAAAGCAAAAGCGGTGACTGCAACTGCAAGTGCAACAACTGCAACTTCCACTGGCATAAAGTCCAAAACCCGACGTCAAGTCATTATGCAAACGCGCGTGCCCCGTTTCGGTTGTGCTTTCGGTCTCGTTCTCGTTCTCGTCTCCAGCTCCAGCTTCATCTTCAGCTCCAGCTACGGGATCGATCTCCTCCTCGCCTGCTCGAAAGAACCGATTCCCCAATAAAAATACAAATATATCAAAATGAAACTTACATTTAGTGAAAGAAAAATATCGTCGAGTGTTACGGCCTGTGCCTGTTGCCGAATCAAATCATAATTGTATTTCCAAAAACAAACAACAACAAAAAGGGTTGTACAAGACTTTAGAGAACTTTAGAGATCGTCATTGAGTGTCCGTTTAGTGGAGTGTGTATGTGTTTGCAGCATTTAAGGATCCATTCTACAGCTATACTTTGAGTGGAAATCCTTGAAAGTGGAAGAATATCTTCTTTATTGTCCGTTAAGCGGAATGTTCGAACTTGCCAGAGATTTCCATTTTCAATTTGAGCCTAGAATTTCCATTTAGTGGAATATTTGTGAGTGCGGATCTGTTGAAGATATAGTTTTTGGAAGGAAATCTATTCGTCTTCACCTGTTGAAACTATAGTACCTGATTCCTAATAAATCGTACATCTGCCCCCAAGAACAGAGATCTTTGCCTCTAAGAGACCCTTGCCTACGCTGCACTTGTGGTTCCTTTTCTTTGTTTATGGAAAGAACCGTCTTTTGGAGCCGTTGGGGGAATAAATATTTGCACAGGCTACTGTTTAAGAAAGAGAGAGCGGCAGTGGGACACAACGAGAGAGAGACAGAGTGAAGGAAAGAAAGAGAGAGTGCGATCCTAAGGGAAAGAGATTTTCGGTCAATTTGTAAACAGTGTAGCAAACATTTTATTTTTTAATTAAAAGTTTTATGGACACACACATACACATACCGAAATATGCACCCAAACACACACACACACAGACAACACTGCAAAATGTGATCCGCTTTGGTGGTCCAAAAGCAGCATAAAACTCCAACAACAATCTTGTAAAATAAACAAAAATCAGGAAATGTTAATAGCAGATTCATTCCTTTTGGCCCTAACAGAACGACAGAAAGAGAGGGAGAGAGCAAAAGCAGAGAGACAAAGAAAGAGAGAGCAAGTGTAACAGTAACAGTAACAGTAACAGTAACAGAAACAATAACAGCAGCAGTAACAGCCACCCCAACAGACCTGTTAAGTGGCTCGCGGCTAAAAACGCGCGTAAATTTGTGCCAAGCGGCTTTAAACGCATCAAAACAAAAGCCAAATCAAACGCGTGTAATCTGTAATCCCCCAAAATTGTGAAAATTCCAGAAAAAACACCACAAAATGTTTTTCTCTAATTACAATAATATGTATTTGAAGAACTATTGCTATAGGTACAACCATACAAGTGAAATATTTAATAAAGTTTCTTAAATGCCATAAATATATGTATTAAAATATATCCTTTTGTCCTTGCAGTTCGGTGTACGCTGGACCCCTGCTCACCCAAGCGGCCAATGGGATGCAGTATGGCATGCAGTCGCCCAGCCACGCCCATGCGCATCTCCAGCAGCAACAGCAGCATCCCCACCAGCAGCAGCAACATCCCCACCAGCAGCACAATCCCCACCAGCAACAGCAGCAGCTCCATCAGCATCACAATTCCAGCAGCAGCAGTCCGGGACCCGTGGGTCTGGCCTCTGGAACGACTGTCAATGGCAGTGGGCTCCTGGACGACGGCTATGGCTCGCCAAAGAGCAGCCACAGCGGCGGCGGCGGCGGTGGAAGTGGAGGTGGCACCTTGCCTGCCTTTCAGCGCATTGCATCGGCGACCAGCGGCTACGGCAACGGCGTGGCCAATGGCTCTTCGGTGGTCAGTGGAGCCGAACGGTCCGCTGGCTATGCATCGCTGGCCAATTATCGCACTCAGGTGAGTGTTTGCCCAGGGAATCCCTCCTGATTGATTCCCGCCTAACACTCTGCTCCCTCCCCCTTCAGAGCGATGCCTGGACGGGTCATTACGAGCCAATCAGTTACGCAGCAGCCACCGCATCCGGTGTCCAGACACAGCTTGGAGGCGGCCTTGGTGGGGCCGGGGTGATACGCAACGGACGAGAGATATATGCCGCGAATGCAGCAGCGGCGGCGGCGGTAGATGGCGCCGCAGGACGAGTGGATCCAGGATCCTATCTAACAGCATCCGCATCGTTGTCAGCAAGTAAGTGTTCGCCTCTTTTAGGATATTGAATATAGGATATAGAACACACATTTGGCGCAAGAGAGCGTTGTCTATGTTTGCCTTGCCACAAGAGGAGGAAGGAGGAGGCCTCTCCTTAGGTAGAAGTTCGCACCCGCAGGACTATGGACGATGGATATTTACAGAGCCTGAGCAAACGGCTGAGACCCCGAAGGAACTGCAACTGCTGCTGCCAACTGCTGTTTTCCTACGCAAACAACGCACGCTACACACTTTTTTGAGCCCAAAAACAAAAACTATCGCTAGCGTAAACCTATCTCTAAGTCCTACGTCTCTATAATAAATTCAATTAATTTTACATCCACTCTTGAGCTTACAAAAATCAATCCAAACCACAAGAAACCACAGAAAACACCACCACAAAAAGCAAAAAAAAAAAAACACACACAAAAACTCCCAAACAAAACCAAAATTTTGATGATAATTTGTATGATATTTTCCATGTAAACGTTTCGCATCCTTTTTGAAGCATTTTTCGATGCCGATTATTTCACTGAGGGGCGAGAGTGCGTCAATTGTGGTGCGATCCAGACACCGCTGTGGCGACGCGATAACACGGGACACTATCTGTGCAACGCCTGCGGCTTGTACATGAAAATGAACGGCATGAATCGTCCACTAATAAAACAGCCTAGAAGATTGGTAAATGTCTCTCTCTCTCTCTCTCACACATGTCCTGTCTCCCCTCATCTCTCTCTCAAAAAATCTCAATCCTCTAATTATTACTAACCCAAAAAAGCTTTTTTGTGTGGAACAAAATTTTTATTTGTATTGTAAACGAAAAATGGGAAAAGCTTATAGAAATCCAAGCCGCCAGCCTCTGAACCAGACCCAGAACCCTCTCTGAAAATCAATCCCCATTGGAAAATCATATTCCAAACGAATCTCAAAGAGAGTACAAAAATTAATTGAATTTATTATTAGTTTTATATACAAAAAAAAAAAAAAAAAACAAAAAAAACAACCAAAAACAAAACAAAAGAACGTGCAAATTTCTGCTACTCTTCTACTCCTTCTACTACTACTGTTTTGCATACTTTTTGCCTACTACTTTTTTGCTGCCTTTTTTGCTCAATCAAAAATCTTCTGATAATATAATTACAGTGGCCGCTGAATCGGGCGGGGATTTCTATAAGAGCTACCCATTTAATGTGAACGCCAGCGGCAGTGGCCGTAGTAAGGCCAACACCCCAACAGCCGCGGGCACAGTCATAGCCACTGCTGCTGCAACTGCTGTTGCGGCGGGGGCAACGGCAGCCCCAGCGACAGCTTCGACGGCAGCGGTAAATGCAACAACGACGCTTGAAGAGCACGTTAGTCGCGCCAATTCGAGACGCTTGGTAGGTCGCTCATTAATTAACAAAACAACAAAACCAACAAAACCAACAAACCCCCCAAAGAACAAATTCCCAACAACTAACAAACCGAAAACAAAACAAATCGAAAGAGTAAAGTAGAAATCCCAGAAAATATATAGAAAATATTGTTCCACATGAAAGGCTCCAAGGAAATGTCCAAAAGTTTACTAATTAATCAATATTTTATCCCATTCCTCGATGTAGAGTGCCTCGAAGCGCAATGGCCTGTCGTGCAGCAATTGCCTCACCACCTACACATCTTTGTGGCGCCGCAATCCTGCCGGAGAGCCTGTGTGCAATGCCTGCGGGCTGTACTTTAAGCTGCACAGCGTCACGCGTCCGTTGGCCATGAAAAAGGATACCATTCAGGTGAGCAAAGAGAAGAGAACTCAATAGAAACAAAATTCTATATTATGTACTATTTCTCGTTTAGAAACGCAAACGTAAACCCAAGGGAACGAAGAGTGAAAAGTCCAAGAAAATGAAAATGGCAATGAATGCCAATATAGAGGGAGGTTCAGGCAATGGTGCAGGGTCTGCAGGCTCTGGCTCCCACAATGTGGGCCTGAGCTTGGACGTCAACGAAGGTAAGTGTCTCGTGAATGATCCTACGCTCTGTGGGTGCATGCCTAATTCGTGTGTCTGTCTCTCTGTCCTGTCTTAGATATGAAACCATACATGCCATACACCACAACCACATCGCAACACCACCAGCAGCAGCAGCAACAGCAGCAATCACAGCAACAGCAGCAGCATCATCATCAGCTCATTGCTGATCAGCAGCAGCATTCATCGGCTGCCAGTTCGCCCCATAGCATGGCCTCCTCCTCACTATCCCCCTCAGCCACATCACATTCCCATTCGCATCAACAACAGCAGCAGCAACAGCATCAGTTGTGCTCTGGCCTGGACATGTCGCCCACGTCGCCCTATCAAATGTCCCCCATCAACATGCAGCAGCAGCAACATTCATCCCATCAGCAACAGCAGCAATCCTGCAGCATGCAACAGCATTCGCCCAGCACTCCCACCTCCAGCACGGCCTCTATTTACAATACACCATCGCCCACCCACCACCATCAACACAGTATCCATAATAACAATAACAATAACAATAACAATAGCACATTGTTCAACAACAACAACAACAGTAGCAATGAGAATAACACGAAAATTATACAGAAATATCTGCAAGCTCAACAATTGAGCGCGAACAGCAACAACAGCAACAGCAACAGCGGGAGCGGGAGCTCGGATCATCATCTATTGGCGCACCTGAATGCGAACTCCATTACGACGGCAACACTTGCAGCAGCGGCTGCAGCGACGATCAAACCAGAGGCCACATCGTCCACAGCCACAGCCACAGTGACGGGATCAACACCGACCACGGCATCGAGCACATTATCCTCACTGAGCCTCAGCAACAGCAACATTATCAGTCTGCAAAATCCCTATCAACAGCTGGGGCTTGGACCGCAGGCGATGGCATTGTCTAAGCCAGGAGGACGCGCCGCCTCCCCGCTCTACTATATCACGGAGGATGAGCAGCACATCAAACTGGAGCAGATAGAACATCAGCATCATCAGGAGCACCAGCACTCCCATCAACAGCATCAGGGAGAGCTAATGCTCAGCCGATCGGGCTCGCTGGACGAGCACTACGAACTAGCGGCCTTTCAGCTGCAGCAGCAAGAGCTCCGTCTCCAGCAGAGTCTGCTCCACGAGCAGCAGGTGGCCAGCTATGCCATGCAAGCAAAGCAACTGCAGGAGCTGGAACGCAAGTACGGCGTGGATCGGGAGACTGTGGTGAAGATGGAGTAGACGGTGAAGATATACATGGTGCACTGTAGCATGACCAAAGATCCTGTTGTTAAATCTCATAGCTCCAAAGAATTTTTAGCGTGTATACCCAAGAGCAGTTCTCCAAGAACCCTCCTCTAAACTCTACCCTCTATTCTCTACATAAAATTTAAGCAAATTGATTGACATTTCCATTAGGCCACTCTGAATCGCGCACTACTCGAATTTTTCGTTATTTAAAACCTAGTTTAATTCTTAGAAAATTGCTATATTATCGAATGCAGAACCTAGTTTAATCGCCATGCAAAGCCCTGAGAGAAGTTCGTCGTGTGGCATCTCTTTGGTGTGGCATCCATTTAACTTTTTTTATTTGTTATCAAATCGAATGAATACCTTTTGAGATTTCTCCTACAATCAGATCCCACTTAGAAATTAGAGCTCTTAATTTTAGTTGCGCAACAAAAAGCGAAAACAATGAAAAAACGAATAACAAGCGAAACAACCTACAATCTCATTCAATTTAGTTAATAATTTAATTATATATTTTATGCCACTATATATAGAAATATTTAAATCAATTTAAGTTTTAGTCTCGTAGCACACACACACACACATTTTTACATCATTTTGCAATATTAATTTTATTACTTTTTGAACAAATAAACGACAATTGTCTATTAATTTCCCCAAATACATAATATTTAACTAAATCGCCATGCATGGCGTATGCGTGATTTGTTCAGTTTCATAGCAGCGAGATGTTTAATGTCTGCTTAAATCAGTTGTTAGTTCCAAAGGTGACCAGTGCGTGGCGCATACATCTTTCAGGTAAGTTACATGTATTTTACGCATGTACATGTATTCTACATGACTTAGAAACACAAATTTGTGTAGAAATTCAGCCACATTTTAATTTTAAGGTCGAACGAGAGAAGAACTTCAGGTCTGGGATACCAGGCGAACAGAAATCAGCAGCAAGAAACTTTAGCTAAATTCAAACAAATTCTTGCATACTTTTGGGAATTCAGAAACGTTGCTTGTAAAAAGCCACCGACCTTCTGCTGATTTCTGTTCGCCTGGTATTTTAGATCTGAAAATCGAAAAATCTCGGTGTTGAGCGTCACCATATTGAAAGTGGTTGTTGTTCCTGTGATCGGAATAACATCCTTGATCAGATGAAGTCCTCTTCAAGGGCCAAGGATCAAGGATATTATCTCTAGACATATATGTACATCCTGTTTTCTCCCTTATTTGTGGGCAGATCTGAACCATCCATAGGATCCTGTAATTGGAAAAATATCCTTGATCCATTGGTAAGGACTCAAGCCACCCCAGCCAGTCATATTTCCCCGATTCTTTGAAAGGATGATTTTTCAATAGTTTTATTCATCAAAACGTAGCTTAGTGTAAATAAATAACAATTATCATTTTTCCGACCGCGACCAGAAGTGTGAAGCCCCTGGGCATATTGGTGTCCGCGGGCACGCAAGAAGTGTTCCTGGCCACCGGATGGGGCGACCTTCTAAAATGAAAGGAGCTACATAAAGTAAATTATTAAATAATAGCTGACGGAGTAAGAGGAAGGGATCGCGGTATAGCAGTTTGTGGCCAGAGAGCGTCCAAATGCTGGTGCGATGCACGCGATCGTAGGTGCAGTATCGATCACGTAAGGCCGTCACCAGAGCGCCGGAGGACACGGAAAGTGAAGGTTAAAGCCTCGGGACGCTTATCCGGCAAAATATATCATGAAATATCCTTTCAGAAATAATTTGTAATCTATATTTAGTGCTGGGATCATCCCAGGATCTTCGGCTCTGGCGCTCAGCCACCGCCGCGCCATGAAGAGCCAGCCGGGCTGGCTTTGTCATACTTGCGCATCAAATTTGATCTATTATTCCCGCTTTAAATTGAAGCATAGACTTTGGTATGATTTCATCAGATTATAATCCATTTTATTGACAGTTTTCATGTGGACGGTGATCTATAAAAGCGTAAGCAGGTACCATCCAATCCCATATCCCGTAGCAACAACTTTGGTGCCACAGACGGGAACGTTGCCAATGGTAGGAGGGTGTCTCTATATGTGTATATACATATGTATGTTATATAGTTGAATGTGTGTGTTTGAGGGGGATGTACATGTGTCTGTATGTCTGTGTGTGTGTGTGTGTATTATTTTATATTGTGCGCCGCCATTTACGAAAGCGACATTTTCAGCGATAAGATAACGTCGCATTGCTGAGGTCCCCTCTCCAAGTCCCCTCCCCCTCCCTGCCCCTCCCTAGCCCTGTCACTCTCTCGCAAGTTACCCATCCCCCCTTTCATCAGCAACCCCTCCACCCTTTTATTTTTCTCTATTTTTTCCTTGTTTTTTTTAATAAACTTTGTTTTTTATGGGAGTCACGCGTTACAAAACGACAACAACAACAAATCTGAAAGTCATTTCATATGGCAAAACGGTTTTTTTTGTTTATTGCTAGGGTTGGTTGCTGCCCGTGTAGAGGGAAGGGAAGGCTAGTGGGGGTGGGAGGGAGCATAAGCGCTGCGCCTGTCTACGTGACTGTACCAAAGTGCCGTATGTCGGCTCGTGGACTCGTTCAAGTGCCACCGAATGGGTCTGCGCCTCGATCCGCGTCCACTCTGATTGATTACAGCGGAATCCTCATTCTATGCCCCTCAAAATGTATCCCAAACACAATTTCATTCAATCGTTTTCAGACGTTTCTCTTTTTGGATCCCTCTAATCGGTCATTGCACAGATTTTTCGGCTTTGCAAAACTTTCACTCAAACACTCAGCCGGAGAGAGATTGTAAGTTCTTTTATTTTGTATTTTTTTGGGTTCTGGCTGGGTCAGGGTTTTCCTATCAACGCTTTTGGCCAGATAATGGGATGATAATGCCAGTGGTATATACATATAGCCTTGTCTTACATGATATCGCATCATACACACAAGCATAAGCGTGATAAGATATAGAAAGATATGGTCTTGGGCTTTGATTTCCAATCATTCCCAGTAGTCCCTGCCCGTCTGTATATAGAAGTTTCTTAGTCGAGATCCGTTGTTGGGGGAAGAAGGAGGTCATCCAGGGGTTTATTTTACTAATAATGATTAAAAGTATGATTGGAATAACAACTAGAAAGAAATATCTAAATGGATCACAGAAAGCAGAGCCCATTCGGTGATTTCTTAGAGCTCTACAAAGTCAAAGTTTTATCCACATTTGCTCTTCAAGTTTCGTAAGCTCTTCTAATGAATCATTGTTTGTAGATCATGAAATGAAATCCATTGTCTGAAGCTGTTTACCCAATTCCATGATATTTACTGCTAGCAAACAAGATGGTTAATTGCGAAACAAAACTGGGCTAGAATCATATAAGAATCGTGTAGGATTATTTAACAAGAGCATTAGGCAGAGAATGAACAAGATATATGTTTACAGAAACCATATAAATATTGTGTAGAAGAGAATCTATGCATCAGGGATGCAACCATACCAAACATCCAGGAACTATGAATAACTTCTGAGGCATCTTTTACATAAGAAATATACCCCATGATTTCTTCCAAATAAAGTGTCTAAAAATACTAGTCGAAGAGCCAGAAATAAATTTAATCATGCTTATTAAGCAGCAGCTCCTTGGCTCTTATCATTTTGCTTCTGGGAGAAAAACAAGCGTGGAATGAATGGAGAGAATTATTCATGCACTGACTACGCATGTGGTTTTCCCCATCAAGATCCGCGGAAATCGTTGTCATTGAGGGCGGGGTACTTAGCACTCAGTTTCCTCCTTTCGTTTCCTTCGAAATGGTGCCACAAACTGTCAGAGATTCACTGTAAGGCCCACTTTGTTGGTTTAATATAACTATCATATATTGTACTGGGTACACACACTTATAGTCCATGCCATAACATGCGATGATTTCATGCCCGACATGGCTTTTTTATGGCTCTTTTTTTACAATACTCGTAGAACCGTGGCACCATTTGTTTTTCGGATTTGTCACTTTACGATCTCTCTCTCTCTCTCTCCCTCTGTCACGTATACTTTTCGGGCATTATAATGCATTATAATTATATTATATTTTCATAATTACTCTCGACGGATCGGATCGGAACGTGTTTAAATGGAAAGTGCAAAACTTACTGGCAGACAGCCAGCCAACGAAATAACGAAGCCGCCAGTAAGATATCTGTGTATATATGATTTTTTTACATGCCCATTCCATAGATAGGCAATCTGTATCTGTGGCACGATAATGCTTATAAATAAGATAATATGATTTGATAATGGTATTTACCATATGCAGAAACAGAAACAGAACACCGAGAACCGAGAACCGAGAACTCTACAGGCGGTTTTATGTAACCTGAAGTTCGCTTTCTATATATTTAAAGTACATGATTTTCTTACATTTTTCTTTAGGGTATGGTTTTCCCCCTGCTGCTGCGGTGAACCTAATTAAATGTTTGACATTTGCCTGATTTATTTAGCGTGAAAATGCTGAAAAAATTCCCTCTGATTCTTGGTATATATGTATATAGAAGGTAGTTTGGTTTCTCTGTGGAATTGTGTGCAAACAGATTGCATTTAGAGCATTCCATTCCATTGCGCGGTTCCTTCACGGTTCTGTTCTTTTCTGTTTGTTGTTGACTTGACTGCTTTTTGATGTCTTCTTTGGGTTTGCTACCTTCCCCGTGTCCCCGTTGCTGTTTCTTATCGCCAACTGACGTTTGTACTTCAAAATGTGTACTTAAGATAATGAAAATGAGGAAGAAACAGCTATGGGCCATGGGCCATGGGCCACGACACGAAGGGGGGTCGGTGCCGCAACACATGGCATGGAAGTATCGCAATGCAGACATATCCACAAGACATCATCAGACTTCAACTCAAATCAAAATGTATGTACAGGCAGGAGTGGTAGAAACTTGTCATCGCTTTGACAATTTTCCTGTGCTTTTGAATGGTGGAGGGTACAGGGAAAACCTTAGAGATTGAGGTCTTCCAAAGTGTCTTTCACTGACAGAATCTTTACTCAATCCTTTGGGCCTGAGAGGTCTTCCCCCTCCATGAGGTTCTCTTCCCCTTTTTGGCCACAAGAAACCAATTTCATTTAAGCCAAAGATCACCACTGCGGATAAGGTCGAAAGGTGCACTTGATTTGGGCCCACTTTCCCTTGGGCCGTTTCTGGGAATTCGTTCGTTTTGCTATCGCCTGGCACTTAATAAGCATATTCTAATCTAATCAGGGGATCATTAATTAACTTCCAAAAGTTTGCTTTCGCCTTCTCAAGTGTTACTTGAGCCGTTCGATGCTTTTGGCAGTTGGAAAATTTATACAAAAGTCCAGTGATATCTTATCGATGTGGGAGCCAAAGATCACCACCACAAAGTAATGTTGCAACTTATTCCATGAGGAGAAGAATATAACTTGTAAATGAACACTGGTATTCCACTGATCCATGATATGGATTTGTTCTTTGATCGAAGATCTTTCCGATATTTCACTAAACACTTTTCCCACTCTGTTCGTCCTTGGAAACTTGAGAGTTTTCTTCACT